TGGAACAGCACTCCTAACAATTAGTGTACACCACTTACAGTATCTCCAACAGGCTGCCACAAATATATCACACGAAAACTTGTGTTTGGTGAACATATTTCAGAAATAAATATAAAATATTAAGATAGTAACATAAATTCAGTATTCTAAAATGCTACATCACACATGTCCAACCGCTGATAATCTACAGTATTAATATTCTATAAGATTTGATATTGACTTTAATATGTTTATCAGTAGACCTGATGAATTTTAAATGTTTGCTAAGTTGTACGATACAATAATATTGTATCGGTATAACTTAACATTAACAAACATTTAAAATGCCAGTAGGTACTGTATATTCAATATATGGTATCTACAAGTATGTGTAGGTTGTTTGCTATACAATGCATATAGAAAAATATTATGGTTAGTGTCTCGATAAACAGGTAAGTGGTTTGACCTTATGTAGTTTGCGCATAGGTTATTGCATAGTGTAGCCTAACTTCATTTGCCGGTAAGCCTAAATTTTGGGGCCACTGGTAGCCTACCATATGTTTTTTGGGGCGGGGATCAATCTATACAGTGTGTATAAACCAAACTCGGAATTTTGAGCTAAAAATCTTGATGTTGACTTGTATGCCACAATTTAAGGTATTATTAACTAACCGACACAGTATTTTTTCTTCTTTTTTTTTAAATTATTCTATTTATTTACTTTTAATGTAATGTCTTTAGCAACATTTGGAGTTGTTTAAAGTAAATATTTAAAAAAAAAAAAAAATCGAAAAACGTTTTTCCTACTTCAGTAGCATTTATTGCAAAAATCTGTTTTCAATTTGTTTTTGAAACTTTAAAGTGAAAAAAAATATAAAAAAAAAAAAAAACATTATTTTTGTTTGCTGTAAGTCTACCTGTTCAGAAGCTGATTTTTTGGTCATTTAAAGGTAAACTTTGTTTCCTTCCCTTCAAAAATTTTCTAAAGAAATTTGTATTTATTACATAAGAATGTTAATTTTTTTTTTATTTTTCGAATGCAAAAAAAAAACAAAATGTAATTCTGTATTATTATTTCCTCAAAGTTTTCTCTATTTTAAAATTTACAAATAGTCCATTATTTCTATTTATTATCCAACACCTTATTCCTGATTTTATTTTGAAGCTATTTATGAAATATAAAGACCCCCACTCCCACACACCCCGAGTTCATAGATGAATTTTTTGTGAGTTTACTTACCTACCTTGGTTTACTAACCTCTTCCTATTTCTCAGTTTACCTCCCTTTTTTGTGCCTCATGGCACACAAATCCCCTGCATAATGTCTCTACTTTGCCTTGTCTGAAGCTTATTTGTTATATAGTGATTTACTAAGTGTAGCTTAGATGTGACACAAGGCCACAAGTATGGAGCATCCAATGAAGAATCTTATTTATTTATCATGTATATAGTTTGAATATTTATTGCAAGCTGTATAATGATATTTCCAGTAAAAATATAAAAATTTAACAAGTTGAAAGTTTTTAAAAAACCTGGTTTTTCTTCTGTTATTTTCTTTTCTGTTAACTCGTTTATTTAACCATTGCATTTCAGTTTGTTCCTTTTCCTTACCTGTCACTTGATCAACTATCTATTCGTATATATGCCATTCAATAGGTAATTTTTTTTTCTGTTTCCCATGATGCAACTGTGGTCATCAAATGTTAAGATTAGTTAATCACAACATTTCTTTAAAGGGTACTATGAACTGCACTCTCCCATCCCAGGGTAACAAGTTACCCTTACATGCCTTAAAGATAAGTGATGCGAAATAACTTGACTTCTATATTTACATACAAATTACATACAGCTAAAAGAAATAAAAGCATTCCTGTGTATATATTACACTTATTGTTTGTATTTATATAAGTTATCTCAGGTTTGGCATGTATGAAAAAAATGTTTTAGTCAAAGTAATTATTTTAATTTTCTTTAATAGTTCATCTAACTTTTAAAATTTTTTTTCCCCCCACTTTGTATGCACTGAATCCTGTGCATTCTGTTTGCCATCTTTCACTCTCTCTTCCAATATCACCTCCTCCCATCTTACATCATTTTTCCACTCACTCTCCCTTCATAATCCCTTCCATCCATCCCCCTTATCACTCCCTGCACCTTTTCTCCCACTCATTCTTCAACACCTTTCTAGCCTCCTCTATTCCAATTTCCCCCACTTTCTTATCGCCTTCCACCTCTTTCTCTCCTCTTCCACCTCTTTCTCCCAACCATTTCTCACCTCACTTATTCCTACTTTCTCCCTTTTCTTCCCTCTCCTCCTTCCATCAGCCTTCTACCCCTCTTTTACCCTGACTCCATCCTTTCACCTCTCTCTCTCTTCCATTATTCCATCTTTCGCATTTCTCTCTTCATCTTGCTTTTCTCTATCTACTTAAAATCTTATGGTAACTTTTTCAATGCTGTCACTTTCTTTCTTTTTGCCTGTTAGCCATTCTGGTTCCTTGATTAAACGCTTATAATAACCATCAACTTGTGCATCTCTTGTAATTGTGCAATAATGCCCAGCTTTGATTGAGAGAAAAAAGAAAAGAAAAAGAAAACAAAAGTTGCATGCTTAAAGAATGTCTGCACAATTGATTTTCTTCAAAACAGTTTTTTTCACACTGAAAACAGTTTTTTTCTTTCCAAAATTTATAACAACTTTTATTCTTCATTATAAAACTGTCTAATTAAATAATGAACATAGCTTTTATTAAACAAGGGTCCACACTTTTTTGGACACCTTTAAGAAAAAAAACAAATATCTGCCAAATTTTACATTTTGCCCAATGTCTTGAAATGAAGTATTTCACATTATTCTGCAAATTATTTGAAATTTGAGTTTTTTTTTCACAATGTCTTGGCTAATGTCTTCAGTTTTCCTTACATATATGTAGCTTTTAGTAATTCTCGAAGTTCTTCTTTTTTTTTTTCTAAGTCATTTCACTCCAAGCAAGGGGTTACTAAGTGTGAAAGAATAAGAAAAAAATACTATTAAGAAGTAGGAACAATGAAAGAGGAATCCAAAAGACAGAATATAATGATTGACATTGCATTTAAATTTTTGAATGTCAAAGTTCGCTGGAAAGGAAGAAGCTGGAAGAGAGTTCCACATGCAAGAAGTGCAAAAGGAGAAACTCTTAGCATAGAACTTATGGTTATATCAATCCATTTCAACTGTAAAAGGATGAAAACTTGCCACCAATCTAGTAGTACACTTAAATTCATAAAGTCTAGATACCATAGAGGATATTTCATCTGAATTAATTACTATGAAAGTATTTATAGAAAAGACACAGGGAAGCTACATTATGGGTGTAGGAAAGTGACTGAAGGTGAAATGCCAGGTCATGAAGAATAACATTAAAGATTCTTCTTTGAATTTTATCAAGAATTTCTAAATATAGCAGTAGTATCAGATCATTCGAAAACCAAAGCTCCTGTCTTTTAGTTGGAATGATAAAGCTTTAAGTGCTAATGTTTCATGTTCACAAGAACTAAAACCTGTATCATCTTGAGTAGCAAAATTTGGTAATGTTACATGAAAAAATGTGATCTTAATGGTTGGAGAATATGTTGGCTTTAACCAGTGCGACATGCATCATATATGTGGCAGAAGAGAATAGCAGGTGAGGCAGAATGATTAAATGATAAAGGTTTAGAAACAGTTTCAAAAAATTCATATGCAAAAAAATAAATATGATTTAAAATATTATTATGGATTACTTGTAATTGCATGCAGGAGTCCCATTATAAATAGTTGTAAATAATTATTGACTGATTTTATCATTGTGATATTTTTACATTATATAAAGTATTAAGAATATAGTAACGAGTGTCCGCAAATTGGAGGAGAGAGTTATCAATGATAATGTTCTGACTTCAAATCCGCGGTTACCTCCCTTTAACTCTCTGTCTGGACCTTCTTTGCCATAGGGCTGCTTGCACTTTTTCAATGGGACTTCCTTTTGGTGAGGCACAAGTTGATTTTCATTTAAAAAAAAAAAAAGAAAAAAGAAATGAAGCTATCCAATCATAACCAAGCAATTTGTATTCCTTTAATAAAAAGAAGAAAAAAATTTTTTGTAAAAGTGTGGGTGTTGAACTGTGGTTCTTAAATGATGTGGCGCACCTCATAAGTGCAACAGAAGAGGATAGCAGGTGAGGTGGAATGATTGAAAGACAATCAAACATTTAGAAACAGTTTCAAAACATTTGTATGCCAAAAATAAATATGATTTCAAAATTTAAAATATTATTATGGATTACTTGTAATTGCATGCATGAATCCCAGTTTAAATAGTTATAAATAATTATTGACCGATTTTATCATTGCGTTATTTTTGCATTATACCAAGTATTAAGAATATACTAACTACGGTCTGCAAATTGGAGGAGAGAGTTATCAATGATAATGTTCTGACTTTGAATCCGTGGTTATCTCCCTTTAACCCTCTCTCTCTTTTTAATTTGGCACGAGCCAAATTTAATTCTGAAAATGTGACCCGGAGAGAAAAAAGGTTAGAAAATCACTGCCTTAAACTCTGACAAAGACAACAAAGATACAGATACTGATCTAAATCCTACATTACTGCCAAATAAATTTCCTACTTTTTTTTCCTATATGCCTTAAAAAAAAAAAAACTCTATAGCTTTACAAAATTTTAAAAAACGTGCTGACTTTATTTTTTTATTTTATCAGCTGCCTTTAAAACTTATAAAAAAGGTGTTATAAATTTTCAAATATTGCCAAAAAAAAATCTTTCTTCAAAAAGGGTTAGTTTTAGTTTGTTAGTACAGGTTGCACCAGAAATACCTGCCACATAATGGTAAGGCAAGATGAAGACACCATTGTCTCTAATCTCTTACTAATCATTATATGGGATGTATTTCTACTACACCTTGTATATCTCCATCATCATTTTATTAATATTCAATTCTTTTTATTTTTTATTTATTTTTTTCCTCTCTTAGAGATTGGCTTACAACCATGTCACATTGAAACACCAGTTCCTGTACAATCACTAAAGTTAAGCAATGTCAAGCCTGGTCAGTATCTAAATGGGTGACTACTTGAGAATACCAGGTGCTGTAAGCTTGGATGTGCAGTGGTGTAATGGATAATGGCTAAGAACTTTTAATCAAAGAGCCAAATTCTAATTCCTGTTGGGTTTGTTATATTCACTTACATAAAAATACCCTTTTGAAAGATATGATTCCACCCTCTTCTCACTCCCATCCTAATTAGTGAGACTTGTACCATTAAACCATTACCTCAAAAAAAATTGTACAATGTAAAAATATTTTCTGGCTTTAAATAACCTGAAAAGGGTTGACAAGCCATAGAAAATGAATGAATGAATCTCTTAGAGATTATACACTGGAAGAAGGCTGTAGAATAGATTGGCTGTTATGCATACAACATATTTTCCAACCACTGTTGCGAGCCTCCCTGTGCCTTTTCTATAAATATTTTCATGGTAATTGTTCTGATGAAATTTCTTCTATTAAATTTCATGAATTTAAGTGTTGTATTAGATTGGTGGCAAGGTGTCATTTTACAGTTGAAATGGCTAAATGTAACCAATAAGTTCCATGCTAACAATTTCTTCTCTTGCACTTCTTACTTGTGGAAATCTCTTCCAGCTTCTTGCTCTCCAGTCAAGTTTAATCTGAAAAAATTTAAATGTAATACCAACCGTTTTTCTTTTTTCTTCTTTCTATTCTTTTATTATTCTCATAAGATAATAATGAAGAAATATAAAATATTATAAAGATAATAATTTTATTATTCTCATAAGATATATATTAGCATTTTGTTGTCTTTCATTTATTGCTAATTTCTTGCCTAATAACTTGTAGCCATTTGTAGTGATACTTTTGCACAACCCCTTTTCTAGGTAGGATCCACTTACCAAGGTAGGGGTTAGCTATTTTGGGTTCTGGGTTTCATACATGTTTTTAGCAGAAATATTAAGAAAAAAAAATTCCCATTCTAAAATACTGTTTGAATAATTCTTGTATTTCTTTATTTGTTCCTATTGGTAGGATTGGGTGTGGTCAGGTGGATGTCTGCCTGAGATTTAGATTGGCTGTTTTTAACACCTCAATTCCTCCCAATAGTAGTTTCTTAACAAACAGCCCCCCCATTCCAGACAATTAGATGTTCAAACTTCAATTAATCTAGATAAAATCAGACTATAAATAGTAAGATCAGTAAGAGGTACTTCTGCTGCAGTCTGTATTATATAAGGTTCTCCTCCTCCTCCTCAACAAAAAGTCAGCCAACCAACCTTGATTTGAGCAAATGCATAAACCTTTCTGTAATTTATTTGACCCCTTTACAAAAAAAAAAAAAAAACATACCCAATCCTTACCCAACACTTGATATTGCTCAACTTAGTATTTTAACAGTAGATTATAAATATTTAAATTTTACAATAGTCAGTTTTTAATCTGTGCCTGACAATTACCCCATTCATGAAACTCATTCTTGTATTAAACAATAAGGAACCTAATGTATGAATGAGAACTCATGGATTATATTTTCCTTAAAATCAGCCTATGCTCAAATCTTACTGAAAGCACTGGCTCTCATTTGAACACTGAAGTTAAGAGGCATTGAGCCCAGTCAGTATTTAAATGGGAGGCCACTTGGGCATAACGGGTACTATAAGCAATCTCCTAAAATCCAATATATGTTAAGCTTTAAATAACCCACAAAGGGTTGATAAGTCATAAAGAAACAAATCAATCAAATTTTGTTTTTTTTTAGTCACCATCATTTCTGAGACATAAATAGTATGTATTTAGTATACAGCCACTCCTCATTTATTTAATGATTAGGTTCCAACAAGTTGGTCACTAAGTGAGAAATTGTACCTGATGACTATTTCAGTTCTACCATATGTGTAATGGATTTGAGTCAACTGGCTTCAGATAGCTTTAATGCACTGTTTGTAACCACTGAAATTTATATTAATATCTGCTCAAACTATTTTCTTCATCTTGAAATGAAGTTTACGGCTCGTAATCTTTCTTTCATTTCAACTGTGACCTTTCTTCTGTCAGAGGTCGGTGATTTTGATTTTCCGGCCAAAATAATTTACTTCATTTTTGATAAAAAGTCAGCCAACCAACCTGACTTCAGCAAATGCACAAACTTCCCATTTTATCTGAAATTCATTCGACCCCTTCACAAAAAAAAACATATCCAGTGCCTCCTCCCAACCATGAAAAAAAGACCTTTTTGATATTGCTCAATGTAGAGCACAGTCTGAATCAAGACTTGTGGATTTTATTTTTCTTTTGAATCAGTCAATCATTTTTTTTTTTTTTTTTTAGTAGCCTTCATTTCTGAGATATGAATAGTATTTAGTCATTCAGTATATGGCCACTCCTCAGTTAATGACTAGGTTCCAATAAGCTGGTCATTAAGTGAGAAGTTGTACCTGACCGCTGTTTCATGTACATCATGCATGTAATGGGTTTGTGTCAAACTGCTTGTGTCAATGACACTTCGACACCATTTGTAATCTTTCTAATTTATTCTTGCATGTTTATATACCTACGCTTTATTTAAATTATATGATTCTGCAATGAACAAGGACACTAACAAAAGAAAATGTTGATGTTCTCTCATAGAGAAATCAAATCCAAGAGAAAAAAATGAACCTTAGAAAGTTTACCAATTTTAATTCTGACATAAAACAACTTAGTCAGAAGTTGGAAAAACTAAAAATGTTGAACAAAGACCTTGTCGGTATTGTGTAATAAAACTGGTTTTGAAAGAACACTTGCTGCCTAAATACACCTTTTTCATATACAGGGCACCTCCCAGAAATACCTCCCACATAATGGCAAGACATTAGCTAGATGAATGAAGACACCATTGCCATTTGCCTAAGTTCACTGGCACCACATAGGTGATAGTTTAAAATGTGGGAGGTATTTCTGGTACGCCCTGTAACTAATGTCTTACCATTATGTATCTCCCCCCATATATATATATATATATATATATATACATACATACATACACACACACACTTATATATAAGTAGCACACAGTGAATGCTGGTGGTAATAAAACTGCTCGATATATAACAACAGAACTAAAATCTATACTAATAATAAATATACATTTTGTTCTTTACCGTTTAGCACAAATGCATTAAAATCAATTTAATCCAGCATATTCCCCCTCGCATGAATAAACAGTGTGTTCCACTATTTTAATAGTAGGCTATAAATATTTAAATTTTACAATAGTCAGTTTTTAATCTGTGCCTGACAATTGCCTCATTCATGAAACTCATTCTTGTATTAAACAATAAGGAACCTAATGTATATTTAATATTAGGGTATACAAAACTCTGGAGTCAGGATGTTGAAGATAACATCAATCAGCTAGGTGACAAACTTTTACTCATATTAATCTCACACACACACACACACACACACACACATAAAGGAGGCACAGTGGAGTAGTGGATAGCGGCTCGGATTGAGGAATCAGGGAGCTGAGTTCAAATTCCAGTTGAATCCATTACATTCACTTACATGCTAATACCCTTGGGAAAGGTGTGAATCCTTCTCTTCTCCCTCCAGCTATGGGTAAATAGCAGGACAGACTGGGTTCTATAGCCTTGGATGGCAACTGGTCTAGGAGAAGGACAACTCTGAATTCAAAACCAGCGGAAGATTGTGGCACATAGTGCACCAGGTCTCTGTATTCAGCCCATCAAAAAGTGTGGATGGTCCTGCACAAAGCCTTCACCACTATAATCAAATCACGTGTGTGTGTGTCTGGCTGTTGGTTCCTAGGAACTGAGCTGCTTGACTCTCATACGACGGGAGAGTCTGCAATATATATATATATATATATATATATATATCCGCTTGACTGGCACCAACCTAGCCTAGAAAAGAGCAGTAATCTAAGTCTTAGGCAAGCAAGCATTTCTCTTTTCAGACAATGACCAAGAAATATTTGCAATATTTAAATAATAACAAAAATATTCTTTTTTTTTTTTTTTTCTCTAGTCATATTTATTACTTTCAAAGTATTTATTTTTTTCTGTTGAGGTATTTTAAAAACTTATTTTAAAATGTTTCCATCCTCTTGTTTAAAAAAAAACAAAAAAAAACAAAAACAAATGTTCCCCTACCCACCCATTTCCCTGCACCTCACCTACTGAGGTGATATGTTTTCCATGCTCACTCGACACACAAAACACACCGGGTTTTTATCTCATATTTTTGCTTTTTTATCTTGTTGGCCACATTATTTCTTTTATTGTTATTGATACATTTTAAAAAATTTGATGTCAGAAAAAAAAAAAACTTTATACACTGCTAAATAAAGATTTTATGAAATTTTAATTTTGTTTAGTTGTTTGTTCTTTTTTGGTAGAAAACTTGCAGAATATGTGTTGTCCTTGACGGCAGGTCATTGTTGGGCATAAAGGGCAGGACTTGTCAATCTCATTTTAGTTTATTATGGGTTACAACAAAATATGAGCTCTGATCAAAAAGTATGACTGGTGCTATAAAAAGAAAATATATTTGTTTACAGGGTGTGTGTATTGCCTCTTATCTTGGTTCAAAGGTCACAAGTATAGAATTGTTTTCTTTATATGAGGCCCAATCAAAAAGTATTGAGATTGGTGCTCTAAAAAGAAAATACATTTGTTTACATGTAAAAAATAATAACACAAAAAGTAAATAAAAAAAACTTAACCACAGTACCTTGTCAGTTGTTTTTAATAAAACATATATATATATATATATATATATATATATATATATATATATATATATACTACACCATGACTAAGAAGAAAACTCACATTACATCTCTCTGAACATAGCTCAATTAGGGCTTATTTAAATACACATGGAAACTCCATCTACAACATATCATTGATAATACAAATATAATAGCCTCATCAACATGTAAAGAAAGGCTAAAAATAATGGAAGCATTATTAGTCAATAATATCAACTAAGAACAAGGCCACCATGTGCTGGCCATGTTCAGAAAAATAAAACATTCCTGTAACTCTAGATCTCAATCTATAAAAGCAGGATGTGTGTGTGTGTGTAATGAATGTATGACTGCAATTTTCAACGGATTTGCACCAAAATTTACATGCATGTGCTCCAAGTTAGCGGGAAGGCCAAGACCAACTTTGCATTTCCCAACTCCCATCGATAGTGGAAATAATCGATTTTTTTCATGCTTCTACAGCAGTTTTCATGTAGTTTGTGGCCATTTTCTGCTGGTCAGAGTGAGAGCCTATGGCTGGCTGCCACGAATAGGCAGGAAGATTCTATTGGCCAGCATGAGAGCCAACAGCTGACTGACATGAATGTTAACTAGCACTAATGTGTCACTAGAGACATCATCAGCAACAAGGAAATCCTCAGTAAAGTCATGGAAATGGTTGTACTTGGATTTGAGTTGACTTTTCACTGTGTGTGTGAGTATATGAGTATTATAAAATCTGTTGTACTATAGAAACGGTTTCCCTGACGGAAAAATGGAATACAGGTTCAATTCCTATTGGATGCACAATCTTTATTTGTGTAAGATGTTTCAATCTAGGCAGGTTGTTATTAACTTCAGTATTAAGCAGAGAGCCTTTTTTTGAAGTGGATCTATAGATGTGTAGAACCCCATTAAAAATTGTAGAAAAAATTCAATAGATTTAAGTAGTATTACTAAAATCTCAATTCTGTACACAGACATCACCCTAGTTTTGGGAAAAAGTACACTCACACGACCTTTAAATTCAAATTCCCACATTAGCATTTAATGACCAATCAGTGACGACGTCTCAAACACCATTCAAGCTTTGAGAAAGCAGACAACTATTTCCTGTCTTATGGTAAAAAAAATAGGAAGTTTCACATCTAGAAAATGATTAACAATTTTTCCCTCCTAAAAATCGATATTAAAAATTGGAAAATTTATTTATCAACCAATAAAACTGAGATTGATAAATCTAACTTTTAACTTCCTGTGATCCAATTTTTTTTAATAAATAGCATAACATAAATTAATAAATCAGTCTTCAGTATAACTTTGACTGGAGATTGTAAACAATAGTGAATTCTTAAATTTTTGCATACTAAAATTAACTTATTGAGTACTAAGTTCCTTTTTTGTAAATTATTTCTTGTTTTTAAAGTATTTTCATAAACCAGTTGCACAGTTTACATTATGAAAATACCATAAATATTTGTAATTGTAAAAGTAGTTGTATTGATACTTAGCTGACAGTCTATAATGTAAATTGTAGATTTGCCATGATAATTTCACACACCTTTATCATATACAAAAACAATTCATTTCTTTTGTGTTGTAAAAAGAAAAAAAACAAAACATATTTTGTATGAACTTTGGGAGGAACTTTATAATTTTTTTCTTTCAATTTAAAAGACAACAAAGATTTTTATACTTGATAATAAAGTTATTTAAATTTGTAGAACTTTGAAGATTATTTCTTTTCTTTGCTTTTCACACACTTTTCTTCTACAGATGTGTGTGTATATATATATATATATATATATATATATATATATATATATATATATATATCAAAAGAAGCAATTTATACAAATAATTAATTTGCAATGTTAATGGTAAAATCACTTCACTAACAAGA